AGGATGAATCTCATGCTGTAGAAGGTAAGCCAGAGGCAGGAGAGGACCCACAGCCTCGACATCTTTGAGTTGCTAGATCAAGCCACACCTAAAGCCAGTGCTACCCTGGGCTATTCAACTGTACTTGCTAAGGAGAGTCCTCTGAGTGACTCAGCCCCAGTGACACGGTTTCCTCTGAGGTGTGTCACTAGCACACCCAGGGGATGTGGCTGTAGATTTTTTTAGGAAGCAAGAGTCTGTGTAGGGAAAAAAGGATATTATTGGGTGCGCATTAGAGCACCATTTCTATTGAAAAACTAGGAATAAGCTCATGGCTGAACAACAGGAGATTAAATAAATCGTGGGACATCATACAGTGAGCTGCAGCCATTCAAGTTCAGTTGAGGTCATTAGATCTGAAGTGAAGTCTTGACTGTGTGTTTTATTTCTGTGTGACCCTAGGCTTGTTATGTAACTTTTCTGAGCCTCAGTTTATTCTCCCTTGGAAGGAGTAGTGCCTACTACAGGGTTATTGTGAAAATTCATAAAAAAGAAGCACATGAAGAGCTCAGCAGAGTGCCTGGAACATTCTAAATGTCTAGTTCAAGGTTATTATTAAATTCTAATGACATTGGGCAGTGATCGTGACATGATTTCAGGCATAAAAGATACAAAATCAAGCATGGAGTGTCTTTAAAATTTTATAAAATGTACATAAAATTTTTGCATGAAAATATGAGATCCACCAAAATAAGTATCAAATAACTGGCATTATAAGCGACTTAAAACTTCTTCATACTTTTATATTCTATAAATATTTTACAAGAAAATTTTTTCTTATAATTAAAAGAAAAAGCTCTTGACAAGAGGGAGGAAGGTAGGAGGGGAAAGAAGGAAGCAAGGGAGGAAGGAGGGGGACGTACATTTCCGGGGACGGGTGTTGGGCCGTGGCCAGGGGCAGACAGCCTCCAAAATGCCCCCAAAGCTGATGCCGCCTTCTGTTCTTCACCTCTCGAGGCAGCCCTCTCCCACACCGGGCAGTGCTGACCTGTGTAACCCTCGGGCCGTCATGGAAATGGTGGTGTTTGACATCCCAGGCCAAGGCTAGGTCATAAAAACATTGCAGTTTTCTTTCTTTTTTAAAAAAAGATTTATTTATTTATGCATACAAGAACTGGGTGCAGGCCAGAGGTGTGGGGGCTGAGCAGATTCACCAGAGACAGAGTGGGGAGCAGAATAGGTGGATCTACGGAAATACACTGCTGAGGGGAGCAGCGGGGAGACTGGAGAGATCTGCTGCACCATGTGGGTATCTCCCTGGCCAGGGATCGAACTCAGGCTGCAGCAGTGATATAGCACTGAGACTCAGCCTCTATGCCAGCAGCTTTCACTTGATTTACTCTAAGAGGCTCTGGAGGAAGCCAGCCACCCTGTTGGGAGGACACTCAGGCAGCCCTATGGAAAGGCCCTCAAGGCAGGAAGATGATACTTGCTGCCAGCAACCAGCCTGAACTTGCTGGCCAGCCATCCTGGAAGTGGATCCTTCAGTCCATCACGTTTTCAGAGACTATATTCCTACTGCCATCTTGACTCTTGTCATGAGAGAGTCTGAGCTGAAACCACACAACTAAGCCTCTCCCAAATGCCTGATCATAGAAGCTGTGAGATGGAGCCAGTGGATAGCTGTGTAAGCTGCTATGTTTGGGAGATTAAACATAATCTGGACGCCAGTGATACATAACTAGGACACCAGGATGGAGGAGTTCATGTTTATGGAACACTTGTTCCAGGAATTCCTAAACATTTTTCCTGTCACACAAATCTGCTAGAGGGTTCTAGTGTCTCCTGGGTGGTGGGGGGAAGTTCTGGTCCCCAAGTTTGAGTGTCTCCATGTTCTCACCCTGGGGACCCTCCACTGCCCACTTATAGCCTTCCATTTGACAGCATCATCTGTCACAGTCACACCGATAATGCCCAAAACTTCCAGGTTCTGGGCTTCCCCTGGTGGCGCAGTGGTTGAGTGCTGGGCTGCGAAGCTGCACACAGCCTTAGCAGCGCTGGTTCAATCCCTGACCACTGGGCGAGGGTCCCACATAGCGCGCAGACCTCTCCTGCCGCCTGCTGCTCCCCTCAGCAGTGTACTTTGTCAGTCTGCCTGTTCTGTTCCCCGCTCTGGCTCTGGTGAATTCTCTCACCCTCCCACGCTTCTGACTGTACCCAGTGCTTGTATGAATAAATAAATAAATCTTAAAAAAAAGAAAGAAAGAAAAGATTAACATGTAAGAAAATATAAGTTTAAAAAAAACCCAAAAACTTCCAGGTTCCCCTCTCCTACTTCTGCCACTCTGTACCTCAGTTTCCTCATCTGTCAGAGAGGACTAGAATTGCACCTGCTTCCTAGGGTCGATTGTGGATGCAATGTATTAATATGCACGAGTCTGCTTACAGCAGAGTCCAGCACAGAGTCAGTGTTTTCTATTATTATATTTATTACTTATATGAATACTATTCAAGACTAGACCTTGAAAGCTAAGGAAGGTTTGTGATAAAGTATGAGTGACCCAGAGGGTGACTTAAACCAGCTGTTGAGCTTGAAGAGGACACTCATGTTTTCCTTCTGTGAAAAAGACAAGTGCCACATTTGCTGACCTCCCCCGGGGTGGCACAGGGCTATCAGCTATTTGTCCTACCCACAGTCAAAACACCTAGTCACTCCTTCAAGAGGAAAGTGATTTTTAAACAACGTGTGAGACGGACTGCTTCTTGAGAGAAATGCACGTGTTAAGAGCATTTTGAAAGCAGATGTCTGGAAATATTTCCACTGTGATGAGATTTTATTGCCAAAAAGCAGTGGAAGTATATTTCCCCTAAAAAACTCTGTAATTCTGTGCTTTCAGAACTTGCAGATAGAAAGCAACAACCAATTTCAAAATCCTCCAAAAAACTTTCAGAGTGTTTTGAATCCATTTGTTAAAAATGGGTTTATTTGCAAGATGGACATAAGAGATGGGCATCAAGGCAGGTGGAGAGACGTGATCTGATTTTCACTAAAAACAGTTTCCTCTTTTGCAAATGGGACTAAAACATGATTATTGATATCAGGTATTTAGGAAGAATATAGGCATTTAGAGAAATCGATATACTTACTATATAACAGTAGATTGATATTTGGTAGAAAGTAAGTCTATGAAGCACTTCTTCCATTGGATTTATAAATATCTGTATAAAGCCAAATTTCAGCATTGTTTTCAATTCTAAAAGTCACTCAAATCAATGGAAATAACCTTACATAGAATGAGGTTCTTGAATTGCCACAGTACAGAGAGTTAACCCAAGCTCTCAAAAAAAAAAAAAAAAAAAAAATCATGCAATTGCATTGCTAGCTGTAAAAAATATTAAGACTGCACCAATGAAAGTCAAAGGTCTGTGATACTGTTAGCAGACAAATACAAACCTTAAATTTTTTGTTGTCCTTTCCCATTTTCTATTCATATATGTGCTTTATACTGCAGTTCATAATCTATTTGCGAATCATTATGTAATTTATAAATGTTTGTGCCTAGTTGGAAGCCCCTGAATCTTATTACTTAGTCCAGTCCCAAGCCCCTCTTCCTCAGGCCTCTGTCCTGGAGTTTGAGTTTTTGTGGTGGGTGTGTGGGGGTGTGGGGGTGTGGGTGCAGAGGGAAGGTGCTTCCTCCCCAGCCAGGGAGGCAGGGCCTGCAGTCTCACTCTTGGCCCCTAGAGGGCAGCAGAGTGAAGCAAACAGCAGCTTGTGTGGGGGGCGGAGGGCGAGGGAGGGGCTCGCTCCAAAACAGCCCAAGCAGGCTGGTCCAGAGACACCTGAAAACTTGTTTCCTCCCCAGTCTTTCTCGTCATGCCTCCTCAGGACTGCAGTCAAGTACCCAGCTCCAGACCCTGGGGACTGAGAAAGGTGCTGCTGAGTTCTGGCATCAAGGAGGGCGTCGGTGACCCTGAAGCTCATTTAGAGTTGTGGGGCTTGTCACCTGGGCGCTTGATTCATGCTGACCCCTGCCTTGAGCCTCACTTTCTCCAGGTGATCTAGTGGTAGCGCCACAGGGTGCAATTACACCCCTTTGGCCAAAATGCCCGCGCTTCACAGACTCTGGCTGGAGGGTGAACGCTCCAACGCACTGAGGTCTTGTCTGGCTTGTCACCCAGAGGATGCCCCAGCGGATGCCCCAGGGTGAGGCCAGCAAGGCCACAAACCCTCTTGTCCCCCCACCTTCTCTCCAGACCTGACTCCTTTCCCTCATGCCCCGGACGTCCAAATTCAAGGCTAATTGCCAGGTTGCCGTATCCCTGTGTTCTGACGCTCGCAGCAGATGAGGGCCCTGTTGTCTGTGAACACATTTACAAATGTTTGTGCCTAGTTGGAAGCCCCTGAATCTTAGTACTTAGTCCCGTCCCAAGCCCCTTTTCCTCAGGCCTCTGTCCTGGTGGGGCTACACGTTTGAGGTTCCTTCTCCTCACTTAGGGCAGACCAGTGCTTGGCGTGGGCTAGAGCCGGGGCCTCCTAATACCATTCCAAGAGCCTCACCTCCCACGCCCTGCCTCATCCTGTCCCTTGGGAGACCTTCCAGAAACAGCGCTGGGCATATCAAGCTCCTGCTCCACAGTCATCACTGGCTCCCCATTGCCGATGGGGTAAGATCAGTGCTGCCGAGCCAGGGCTTATGGCCTCTGGTAGATGCTTCCCCCAGCTCTCCCCTGGACTCCCAGCTGCTTCTTCGTGCATGTCTCCTCTGGCGCGGTGTCGGGCAGCCTCGGTTTCTTCATCTGTGTAACTGAGGGTGGAGAGTGCTGGGGCGTGGAGGACCTGCGTGGAAAGCTCTGAGGTGAGGACATGTGGAGGTCCTCTCCCCCACCCCCATCTTACTGGAGAGAAAACTAAAGCCCCGAGGGACAGGTGCCCCCAGAGGGAGCAGGGCCAGGATTCAAATGCAGACCCGATTCAGACCCTTGATCGGAACATCACCTAAAGCCTCAGTGAGGCCTCCAGTTGCTCCCCCTGGCACCCCGTTTGCTTTACTCCCCTGCATGTTCCCCCATCTGCCACGATCCATGTTCGCTGTCTCCTTGTTGATTGTCTTCTTCCCCAGAACAGAAGCCGCAGCAAGGCATGCACCGGGCTGGTCTTAGGCACCCAATGCTCGGCACAGAACCGGGATCCAAAAAATTCTCCAATAGCTGGAAGAGATGAGACATTTTCAAAGAAAAGCAAGGCGCTCCAGCCCATCACTTCCTAAAGAAGTGGGCTCTTTCCAGAGAACCCAGATCCTGGGGAGCTGGGGCACCTCCCCTCTCCCCTGGAGACACTGGCCCTGAGCAGCCAGCAGCCTTGCACAGGCACCGGCAGGCCGGGCCGGCTTTCCAGGAAGCCCTGCTGAGGTGTCTTAACCAGGGACTGAGGTGGGTCTGAGGCTTGGACATCTTGGGAGGCAACGTGCAGAAAACCTCACAGCTAATTAGAACTGGCTAATCCCCTGCTATAATTAGGAGGCCGGGAGGCCAGGATCCTCTGGTTTCCCAAGCTCTATTTGGAAGTTTTGGGGAAGAGGAAGTGGCATAGGAGGCCGGGAAGCTAACCAAAGCCTTTGTAGGTGCGGACTCCAAGGAAAAGTCAAGGCAGAATGTGTTTGGGTCGTGACCCTTCAGAGCATGGCCTTATTCCCTAACAAGTGTGAATTTCATTATTAATAGCAACATTTTTTTCTGGTAAATTTTGTTGCACAGCAAAAAGCCCACAATTCCTAGGTATATGACTTGAGGAATTTTCAGAAACTGAACACACCTGTGTGACCAGGCCCCAGATGCTGCCCCACCCCCGTGGCCCTCCCAGCCTCCACGCACCTCCCGAGCACAGCCATCACCCCGATTTTCAGCACCGTGGATATGTTTTATCATAAACGTTTTGGGCCTTGATTCCAGGTTCTCAGATCAGAAGGTCTGCCCCCACCCCTGCACCCCGGATGAGGGAAGGGTGCCAAGGGACATGGCCCCTGGGCCCCCAGTTCAGGACATTTGCAAATGGTTGCCAGGCAAAGTCAAGGGGCCAGGTTGACAGAGTTTGATCTTGCAGGAGAGGCTGGAAATCTAGATTTTTATGTGAAATCTCATAATTATTGAATGTTGACCACTCGTGAAAATTTAACCTGCAGCGGAGGCCAGCCTCATCGAGGCCAAACAAGACACGCCTTGGGCCGAGGTGGCCAGCAGGCTGCCGGCGGGGATGACCTGGAGGGGCCCCCGGGCGTCGGGAAGAGAGGGGGTGGACACAGACACCGTAGATGGGAGGCGGGGGTGAGGGCGGCGAGGCTCTGAGGTGGAGTGGCGTGGAAGCAGTCCTCTGCAGGACACGAGGGACGCAAGGCCATGCAGGCGGCAAGGACGGTGGGCGGAGGTCTGTGGGCTTGTCCGAGCTCCAGGAGCCCAGGAGCTGCAGAGTGGCCTGGCGTGGCCGTGGCCGTGGCCGTGGGAGGGGCAGAAGATGTGGGCCGAGCTGCCTCCCAGGACCTGCTGGCGGTTAGACCGTCCTGTGGGCAGGCCACGGGACGTGCTGGGCTGACATCTCTGGTGGCCAGCGCAGGGCAGGCGGCGGGGGGCGGGCTGGGAGCCTCTGGGGGAGAGCGGTTAGAGAGATGGCGAAAGAGAAAGGAGGGAACAGGTGTGGGCCCAAATTCCTGGCCTCCTAAAATACTCCGCCTCCTCTGGACCCTGCTCCTTGCCCGAATGTGAGCTGGGCTGCTCTGAGCCTCTTCTCAGCTACGCCCTGACCTTGGGCTCCGTCCTTGTCCCACTTAGTCCGCTTCTAGCAAAATCCTACTGTGTCAGTTTAGAGGGGATCCCACACGTTGCCATGGAGTCAAATTCTTCCCCCAACCCCCTTGACGTCTGATCCCCCTGGGCTACCTGCCTGGAAAATCCTGTGGCCCTGAGCCTTTCTCTGGCGAGGTCCTACCCGCCCACCCCGCCTGCTTGTCTGCTCTAAGTGCCCGCTGTTCCCGGCCGTGTCTAGGGCCGAGCCCCACACCCCTCTGGAGCAGCTGTCCCTCTTGAATGAAGTCCGCCTGGCTCTCTTCAACAGGCTCACGGGTAATTTTTCTTTACTACCTGCCTACGTGCCAGGTGACTCCAACTACATAGATCACTATTTGAAGCTAACGATGCCCATCCTATTCAAGGGGGTGCTGTTGAGTCTGGATTCATTTCAGGAGGGGTGTGTAGACACCACAAGTGGCTCCCTCTCTTGGCTTCATCTCCACCATCAGCCAACCCCTCCCCGCCCCATCTTTGGCTGAGTGCAAGGCCCATTGCCAAATCAGGTGGAGTTTCTGAGCCTCACCGGATGCCCAGATCTGCTTCTCCCAAGGCTGTGCCTCTCAGCAAATGGCAGCTTGTTTGGCAGGAGCTCCTGCCAAGTACCTCAAAGTCGTCTGTCACACCCCGGGTCCCATCCTAGAGAAACACCCGCTGGACGTGCCTTTAATATGGACCCAGTCATTGCTGGCGTGAGCCTCTGGGGTTACTACCTGGATGCACTCACGATCCCCAGCAGCTGCACGTTGTGTTACACCCTAAGTCAGATCTTGTCTCTGCTCTGTTAGTGAACACTCCAGGCTTCCAACCCACTCAGAGCAAATGCCTGAGTCCTCAAAATGGCCCACACGGACAATGCTTTGCCCTCTTCTCCATCCCCTCTCCTCCTGCCCACTCAGCTCCGCCACACGATTTGCTGGGTTATCCCCCTACCTCAGGACCTTTGCACGGGCGGCTCCCTCTTCTTGGAATCTCTTCACCCTTGGATATCCCCATGGCTTGCTCCCTCCTTCAAGTCTTTGTTCCCATGTCACCTTCCCAATGAAGTGTGCTTGGAGCCCTGTTTAAAACATCGCAACCTGCTGCCCTCACTTCTACCTCCCTCCCCCCACCTCCCTGTCCTTCCTGTGGACATTTCTCAAGAGTATCTGCTCCCTGAGAAATTTCACTGGGGCTGTCCTGGACAGGGTTCTGCCCTCAGGCACACCCACACCCGAGGGGCTGGTTTTCAAATGGGTGCGGATTCTCCTGGGACAAAGCACTGCAGTCGATTGCCAAGGGTGACAGCTCTTTGGCCATGATGCATTGTCTGTCAACCATCACCCTCAACACCACCATTATTGCATGGAGGTCCTCTTCCTCAAAAGAGTTGGGAAGGCCTTGCCTGGGGCCGGAAGGGGAATCTCTTAAACAGCTCTGGAGACCCCTGGTCATTCTTCCCAGGGGTCCCTGCCAGGGACGTGGCCCACAATTACTCTCGCCTAGCCCCAGGCGGAGTAGCAGCGGCTGGCAGTGAGCGCAGCTCCCCCAGCAGAGGAAGGCAATTCATAACCCGTTCACCTTGAATCCTGCAAGCCTGCCACTCCACAGGCTGGGGGTTGTTGGAGCAGTTCTCAGCTTGGGCAGAATTCAAATTAGCTCTTGCAATCAAATGCAATTAATTGTTGCTCAGTCTGGGCATCCAGCATCATGCGCTGTGCAGTTGGGAGGGAGTTCAGGGAACATGGTCATCTTAGGGAGAAGAGGTGGGGATGTGGGTGCTCGCAGTTGGGCAGTCCCACGTTGCCCAAGAGATCTTGAAATGGTTTGTGCGAATTTTGTCTTGGTTCAGATGCTAATCATAGTGGCAACCATTTATTGAGTGCCTACTATGTGCCAAATGGTGATGGCAGCTCAATATTCTTCCCCCAAGCCCCCATCCCCTTTTACAGATACGGAATTGAAACTCAGAGAGGTCAAGCAACTTGTTTGAAGTCCACAGCTGGTCAAGTGCCTGATTTGCTTGACCCCAAAGTCAGTATTCTTGACTATTCTGTCCCCTCCCCAAACTTGAAGGTTCTGGGTGGGCAGCCTTGGAGGGTCACCCCTGCCAGGTAACTGCAACAATTTTGTGTCGGACCTGAAAGCTCTTTGGGGCACGGCGCTCAAGATCTTAGGTGGGGAGGGTCTGCGCAGCGAAGCCCCATTTGTCTCACCCAATGCTTGGCATCTTGGTGGGGCATTTATTTGGCACCTTTCCTGCTGGTTAATGCCATGAGAGGGAGGGTATGTACTGGTAGCTTACTGCTGTCAGGGAGCCCTTCCTGTTGGTTGGGGCAGCCCAAGTACCCTTGGGCAACCTCGCAGTGATGTATTTATTGCTCCTCGGACTCAGGAACCCTGCGCTGCCGGCGGGGTGCCCTCGGCGTTTCCTGCAATTCCATGTTCAACAGGAGGCACCCCCTCCTGCGGGTCCTGCAGCTCAGGCTGTGGGACACACTCAGACCCCTTGGGGGCCCCTCTTAGGGGGTCCTACCGGTCCACATCCCCTCGGAGGAGTCCCAGCGCGCTCCCCCCTTAAATCCCTTAGCAGCGCCCCTCGGGCCTTGGGTAGGATGCCCCCTCCCGGCCGGTTTTGTGCCCCGCCACCTTCAGTCCTCGGCGGGGAGTCTCCTCGAGAGCGCCTCGCCTGACCTTCCTCTCGTTTCCCGGACTCTCCATTCCGGCGTGGGTCTCTTTCGGGGGCGCCTCCTCTCTCCGGGGCCCCCGCCCGCTCCCGGCGCGGGGCGCCCCCTCTCTCGGCGAGGGCGGGCGCCAGAACAGTGTCGCCGGCCGCCTGCAGGTGTCTCCCCACGGAGGGGCGCGCGTCCCTGCGCCGCGGCCGCTGCCAGGCGCCGGCGGCTCCTCGCCGAGGTGCACTCGCGCTAGGGGCTCCGGGCGCGTCGGAGCCGCTCCGCCGGCGCCGCCCGCCCCCCGAGGACTCCGCGCCGCGCCCGCCCCCCGGGAGGGCCATGGGCCCGCGCCGCGCCCGCCGCGGCCGATCGCAGGCGCCCGAGCCCCGGGGCGCGGCCGGCAGCGGCCGCTGACGCGGGGCGCCGGCTGCCAACTTCGCGCGCGGAGCTCCCCGGCGGCGCGGTCCCGGCGGCGCGGGCGGCATGAAGACGAGCCGCCGCGGCCGAGCGCTCCTGGCCGTGGCCCTGAACCTGCTGGCGCTGCTCTTCGCCACCACCGCCTTCCTGACCACGCACTGGTGCCAGGGCACGCAGCGGGTGCCCAAGCCGGGCTGCGGCCAGGGCGGCCCCGCCAACTGCCCCAACTCGGGCGCCAACGCCACGGCCAACGGCACCGCCGCGCCCCCGGCCGCGGCCGCGGGGAGCAGCCCCCCCGGGGGCGCGCTCTACAGCTGGGAGACGGGCGACGACCGCTTCCTCCTCAGGAATTTCCACACCGGCATCTGGTACTCGTGCGAGGAGGAGCTCGGCGGGCGCGGTGAGTGAGCGGCGCCCCCACTCCGCGGCCCGGCCCCGCGCTGCGCCCGCCGCTCCCCGGGCTCGGGGCCCCGCGCGCCGCGGGCTCGGCCAGACGCGGGCGGGGCGGCGCGCGGGCAGCTCCGGGCCGGACGCCGGGCCCGGGACGCGCCGCCGCTTCGGGCGCCGCGCGCAGCTCCCGCCCCTGCCGGACGCCGGGCGGCCCGGGGAGGCGGGCGCGCTCGGGGGAGGCGCGTCCCCCCGCGCCCCGCGCCCCCCGCCGCCGGCCGGGCGAGCGCTCCCTTCCCGCCGCAACTCCTCTCGCGGCTCGCCCCGGGCCCCGGTGCCCGCCGCCCGCTGCGTCCCGGGTGCCCGCGGACAGCCGCTGCGAGCCGCCCCGCGCCCAGGGGCGCCCCGCGCCACACGCCCGCGAGGGGGTCCCTGGGGCCGCGTCCAGCCGCCTGAGCCGCTCGCAGGCAGGGCTCGGCGGCGCGGGGGGGGGGGGGCGAGCGCGGGAGGCGCCCCGCGGGGAGCTCGGGGTGTCCCGCTCCAGCCCGGAGAGCCCGCAGCGAGGGGGCGAGAGAGGCAGGCGGGAAACTCAGCTCCGCGGGGCTCTGATCTGACTTGTGGGCAGGGGGTGACTTTTCAGCAGGCAGAACAAACTGCTCCCTTCGCCTCGCACCCCTTCCTGTGCCGCCCCGGCAGCCAGGGCCCGAGAGCGGCCCCTGGGGGCGGCCAGGCCGTCGGAGGGCGCGGGGGCAAGCGCCCTGACCCCGTCCTGCCAGGTGCCGGGTGCTGGTCCCCACCTCCCGGACCTCTGAGATGAGGTTGCCCCGTGTCCAGGGCTGGGGACCCTCTTGGGGGGACCTCTTGGTTAAGACCTCCTGGAGCGTGCATAACTCTTGGGGGACACAGGGCAGTGTGTGACGCCCCTTGGATGGCCCAGAATGAGCCATTGGTCTAACTGGGTTAAAGGACACAGGGAAGAAAGTGTAAAGTAAACCCGAGGAGGCTGCTCCCTCTGCTTCTGCCTGGCTTTCCCTTCCCACACTCCCGGGACGGGCACCCCTTCAGCTCAGGGCACCTCCCCACAGCCTAGGGAGGCAGGGGTTCTCTGGAGACAAGAGCTCCCAGTCTCCGTTTGGAGGCAGGGTCGCCACGTCTTTGTCTCCTCACCACCTTTATCTCCTCATCACATTTGACACAACCTGAAATTTTGGGGGACCTGCCTTTGGCCACCGGGTGATTGTCCCCTGTCCCCTCAGGATGCCACCGGGAGGGCTGCTGGTGGGTCTCATTCCTTGCCCTGTTCCAGCCTCTGGGTAGTGCCTCATGCTTGTCCTTTGGTGCATCTGCAGGATAAATGTTGGGCGAGGCCTGGGGGTGACAAGCCAGAGGTTTCCTGAGGTACCGCCTGCTCCCCCTTGCCTCTGGGGGTGCGCCGCAGAACTTTGCGTGACCACCTGCTCAATGCTGGCTGTTGGCCAGAGTCACTCACCATCGCAGTGGGCCAGCTTCACCCCCTCAGATTCATGTCTGGTGTGTACTCAGGACTCAACCTTTTACTCTGAGATGCAATTAAAAAAAGTTAAGCTCAAAAGGTATTTTTGGATAAAATTCCCTGCTTTCCACTCGATCCAACCCTGACTCCTCCTCTCTACCCCTGCCCTCCTCCCCCACAGAGGCCTCCTTGCCCGGGAGAACAGTCACACCCGTCAGGGTGGAGGTGCCCGCACACCTTTCTCCAGGCTCACGAAGACGGTCGCAGGTTCCAGCGGCCCCAGAGGCCCCGCCTCAGCCACGGCAGGGTCCCTCCCTGCACACATTTGCTGCGCTCCGGCTGTGGAGTGTCCTGGCCCTCCCTGGCCTGCAGAGCCTCTTGTTTGAGCTATCTCCTGGCCTCTCCCTGAAGGTCTTGGCCTAACTCTTGCAGTTATTTTCCTGTAGCTCATCTAGGGCTTGACACAGGTTGTATAAATCTGAGCAGATTCCACACATTATCCATCGAACATTGCAAGACAGTGCTGCCTTGCCTCTACTGCGCCCCGCCCCGTCCTTCAAACTTCCCACCTGCTGAGCTGCTTGAATCCGTGCCCACGCCCCTGAGGCAGGTGCTCCCAGGGCGCCCAAGCCTGGGCGAGGAATTAGAGGCTCACAGAGGAGTTTGTGGCCCCTTCCTGCTGACCACGGGCTGTTAGGGTCTTCTCAGGGCCGGAAAGGAACCAGGGAGAAGGGATGGGTAAGAGAATGGTGCCGCTGGGGGTTGGAGAGGGGGCCACTCAGGGAACTCAGCACCAGCGCCTCACCCCGCGCTCTGTTAGTGAGATGGATGGTTAGTGTGCTGGGTAAATAAACAAACCCACACTTTTCCTCTTTCCCTTGATCACTGTTGGCTAGAGGTCGCCCCTCCCAGAAAATCACAATTTTCCTCCCCGGGAGCTTGGAAAACAGTTATCAGCCTGTCAGTGCTGGTGAGAAATGGGGGAGGTCTGTGCCAGCGTGGATGGCTCCCCAGCTGATCCCACGGTGCCCAATGCCTGCCCCTCCACCGCGTGGTTCCGAAAGGGTGTCAGCAAGTACCTGGCCTCAAACTTTTGTTGCTATGACAACCTTTCTTCTGGGTTCTGAGCCCATCTTTTACATTTATTTTCTGACTCGAAGAAGAAAAACCATCCCAACAACCCTGGACAAGATCCTGCTCACCTCTTGTGTCCCCCCCGCCCCCCAGACATGGAGGACAACTTCCTCCTCGCTCACCCAGGAGACTCCCAGCCAGGAGGGTGGCCCCCCTCCCGCCCCTGCAGCCCCCTCTGACCCTAAAGAAAACACCCCCGGGAACCTGACCTCCCCGTGAGAACAGCTGCTAACTGCTCCTTCTCTCCAGCGCCTGTTCGCTGGTTTCTGTCTGCTCGGAAAAGCCTCTCCCCGCGCTGGCCAGGCTCGGGCGACGGAATAGGCCTTTTCCCACACTAAAATCAACAGCATTCACAAAGAAAACAGCGGCCTGTCCTAAACAGACACACTTTCACCAGCTCGGCACAAAGAGACCTTTTCTCCTTCCTCCGCGAAGGCGCTCCGAGCCCCTTCAACCCACAGAAAGGGAAGCGTGGCCTCGACACAGAATTACCCCAAGTCCTTCACGCAAATTGAATTTCTCTTCTGGTTTAGATGCTCGGAAGGACTGGGTGGGGGGCGGCGGCAGAGGAAGGGCCTGGAGGAGGGGCGAGGCAGTCTGGGCAGGGAGCTGATGTGGCAGGAGAGGCTGTGCCCGCTGCGGGCACGGCTGATGCTGGACTCATCCTGGGCGTGCTTGGCCCAGGACCTGGGTGACTCCGGAAGAGCGATGGGCTCGGGCCTGGGAGGGCCGGTGGGGATGGCTGCGGGAGGTGAAGGGGGAGAGACCAGGCGCGGGCGGCAGGAGCGGGACATCTGGTGTTCCCGTGAGGCCAGGCCCCTCTCCCCTGCCTGAGCTGGAGCCATATGGAGCCAAGCCCATTCTCTCTCGAAGGATGCAAACTTCTCCAGTGCGAGGCCAGCTCTGCTTTTTGTTTCGTTTTTCTGCTGCAGTGTGGTTTGGGCAAGATCCTCAGTTTGCTGCCCTGGAGAATGGGGATCAGAATAGGGAATACCAGCCCTACAGCCGGCTCCCTGTTTCTGCCCTGGCCCCCCGCTTCTGTTATGGCCCCCCTTTGTCCACACCAGAGTGGCCCTCAGATCCTGTCCCTTCCCTGCACAGCAACTTCCCAGAGAGCTAAGCCCCACCGAGGTAGTCCTCAGCCCCTCCCCCACTACTCTCCCTCAAGCACCCCAAGGAGGCACACATGGCCCCAGGCTTTTGCACTGACACTTGCTTCCCTCTGCCTGGCATAATCTTCCTCCAGATCACCAAGGACTATGTCTGGAAACTTCTCTAAGTCAGTGCTGAGTTCTCTCTCAAATTGAACCCTCTCCCCACTGCCACACACACACATTGCTGTTTGATTTTTCTTCTGGCACTTTCCAGTCAGCTTCCTTGTTTATTGTGTGTACCTCCACCAGCTCCGCGGCTGGGTTGGTATGCACCGTCACTGCCAGCTTCCCGCAGGTCACTAGCGCGTAGTAGGAGCTCAGCCATCGTTTGTGAGATGACTGTTGGTTGTGATGACTTTTGATCTTCGTATCTAGTTCCCTAAGGCTTGTTCAGACCCAGTGGGGGGGGGCGTATGGGGGTGGGGAGCCCGGGCTCCAGCCCCCACATCCCCACTCACCAGCTATGTGGCCTTGGGCAGGGCTTGCCTATTCTGGGCCTGAGTTTCCTTGGCTAGGACACCAGGGGGATCTTACCTGCCTCTCTTTAGCATTGGGGTTAAAGCAGAGGACATGGGTGCTTGGCAGGCACACAGCAAGCACTGTTCACAGAGCTTGCTGGATCTGACCCTGTGTCAAGGTGGCAGACCTTGGCCTATGGCCACATAAAGTCTGTCCATCTGTTTTGTTTGGCCCTGCAGTGTTTACAGTTTTTGACTAAGTTGCCAGCATCTGAAAATTGAGATGCTTCACAGAAACATCTGGCAAATCTCAAAAACTTGGCAAATCTCTCGGCATTGAGTACACATTGCTGTGCCCCTTCTGGGATCCCATAACCCACCCTCTTCTGCCTCCCGACATTACATGATTTCCAGGCGCCCAGACCCCAAGCCTGGGTGGTCCCCTCAAATGCCACTTATGCTCACACTCCACACCTCATCCACTGGGGGATCCTGCCAGCCCTTCGCTCAAAACCAGCCCCAACCTGCCCCTGCCCCACCAGCTCTGCCCTGCCCTAGGGCAGTAGTGCCTCACTGGGCTCCCTGCTCCTACCCTGGGCCCCCAAGGTCTGCTCTCCAGCTGGCAGCTGAGGGATCCAGTGAGATCTAGATCACTTCCCTCCTCTGCTCGTCACCCTCCTGTGCATTCCATCTCACTCAGTCACAGCCAACATCTTCCCATGCCTGCAGCCCCCATTGCCTCTCTGGCCCGCTCTCCCTCTCCCCTCCCCACCAGTCACTCTGCCCTGGCCGCATCAGCCTCCTTGCTGTGCCTTGAACAGGCCAAGCCCTGCCTACCACAGGGCCTTTGCACTTGCAATTCTTGCTGTCTGGGATGGGAACTCTTCCGCTGGCTATCTTCAAAGGCTCCCTAATCTCTCTGCTCCAGTGTCCTCTCTCAGTGTGACCTCCCTGCACCAGGACATCTAAATCAGCACTCTCCCTGTCCCCAGCAGTGTCCACCTTATTCCCCTGTTGCTCTAGTTGCTGTCTTACCCACTATGTCACACTCATTTTTCTTCTTTATTGTCCCTCTCCTCTGCTAGGATGCCAGCTCCGTGGAGGCAGGACTCAGTCCATTTCACATAACACCACATCCTCTGTAGGACCTAGATGAGCTGGCACTTAATAAGGGTTCAAGTGAATAAGCATTGAGTGCATTTGGGATTCTAGGAACTTCTCAGGACTTCTGTGTGGAGCCAGAGGCCCAGGTCTGGCCTGTAATTCCCATGGACTTGTTAGAGTCCTTTGTCACTCCTGCCTCTTTTGTTTTGTGAGGAGCTGAAGGGGTGCCTCCTGTTTAAGATTTTTTTTTTTAAGATTTATTGATTTATGCATACAAGAGCTGGGGTACAGGCCAGAGGTGTGGAGGGTGAGAGGATCTACCAGAGACGGAGTGGGGAGCAGAACAGGCAGATCGATGGAAGTACACTGCCGAGGGGAGCAGTGGGTGAGACAGGAGAGGTCTGCTGCGCCATGTGGGTTTCTCCCTGGCCAGGCGGGGATCAGGCTGTGGATTGCTTCATACTGCAGTGCTTAGCCCCTTGCACCACCAGGGAGACCCAAGTGCCTCCTGTTTAAATTCTGGGGTACCAGGCTCACAACCCTCTTGCCAGGATTCCAGGACCTGGGACATTCCAGACCCTGGTGGTTAAGATATTTTGATCCCAAGTGTCAGAAGCAGACTTGAGCCCAAACAAGAATAAAAGATGGCTTATTAGAATGATGCCTCTGCTTGCAATGTCCAGGAAAGGGTGAGCCCCCCAGGCCTTGGGGGCTGGGGCAGGGCTACTTAGGTTTCTGGAAGCTAGAGTTGAGGGGTCTCCTCTCAGGTCTGGAGCCACCCACTGAAGTCCTCCAGGGGTCAGACTGGAGACCTGAGAGCAACACAGAGCGCATGTGGGGGGTAGGGGCCTCTGAGCCGGTGCCTGAGGGACAGTGCTGCTCGGCTCCAGATGACCTTATTGGAACAGGTGGGGGCCCAGCTGGTCCATTTTGTTAAAAATTGGCAACTAATTCCATTAAAAATAAGAGGCCTGCTCTGGAGGCCAAAAGCAAACACGAGGGGCAAGTAGACCCTTGTCCTGCCAGTTTGCGGCTTCTAGGCCAGATCCCTGCTGGTGAGAGAGATTCCCAGCCTGCTGCCTTGTCTGCTGGCTCAGGGTCAGGAGAGAGAGAGTTGAGGGTGTAGCGCAGGTGGCCAGGCTGGTCTGGCCTGCTGTCCTGGGGGTGAGTAGAGGGTTACATTACCCGGGGTGGAGGGAGCAGAGCTTCTGGAGCTGGGGAAGGGACCGGGGCTTGGGCAGACACCCTACGAGAAGTCAGCCCTGCTAGCTAAGACTGCAGATGTGGGCTTCACTGAAAAAGGGAATTTCTGGTCTCTGCTGATGCAAAGTCTCATAAGCCGAGTCCAGCCTTGTGGTGTGGCTGGGTCAGGCTGTGCTGCTGGGGCCTTGTCTCCTTCCAGCTGCCATCCTCTGGGTGGGCTTCATTCTCCAGGGGACTCTTCATTGTCCCTGAAAACTCTGAGCTCACCTGCTTGTCCTAGTAACTTCAGTGAAAGAGCAAGATCCTTCCCCCGCAGGCTTCGAACTGGTTCTCATTGGGCCATTCAGATTTATGTCCCCACCCCTGAACCAATGAGTGTGGATTAAGGGGAGGGGTCGTGTAGGTTGGCCAGGGATTCGTGACACGCCCACTCCTGGGACAGGAGATGAGGACAGCTCGGCCACCTCTTGTGGTATGAGAGTAGGAGGGTTCACAGTTCACAGATGCCACAAGCGCAAAATCTCAGTGACACACAGCCACAACTATTCACTCCAGTCAAGAGTCAGTGGCCAAGGATTTAGGGGGGCTGGGCCATGCTCACGCACATGTGCGGTCGCTGGCGGCTGCTGCGGTGATGGGGACAACCGTGGTGATGGGGGCAACCACGCTGAGCTGCTCTGCGTCCCCAGCAGGCGGGCCCGGCAGCCCCTCGTGCAGCCTCATGGAGAAGCCACGGCCAGACGAACAGACAAGCACTTCTCAAGCCTCTGCTCCCGTCACGTCTGCTCCTGTCCCACTGGCCCAAGAAGTCACGCGGCTGAGCCCAGCGTCCGTGTCGGGCTACTGCAGAACTGTCCTGGCCAACGTCTGGGGCGCGGGGAGGCTGAGGAAATGAGAGCAATCACTCTGTCCCGGGCGGGCAGCGCTGCTGGTCGGGGCCAGCGGTCTCCTGCTTACACAACAGGGGAGATCTGGGAGCTGAGTTTGTGGCCT